TGTGTATTTACTAACATGTACTTTAACACGGATATGATTCCCTACTCTTGGGTTTTTAGTTAGTGTGGGTATCTTTTCTTTATCCCTAGTTGTAGTCCCTCCCCTTATTTTGTGTTGTAGTTATGTAGTCATGTAGTCATGTAGTCTTATAAAAAATAATAAAATTACCCTTTTGGGGGTTTTAAAAAAATTTAAACAAAACATGTACCCAGGAAGAAGGCCCTCTTCATTGGGCTGCCAACCTCCAGGTGGGACTTGGAGTTTGTTTATTTATTTATTTAGATTTATATCCCGCCCCCCAGCCAAGGGCGGCTCAGGGCAGCTTATAAACAGAATAAAACATACACATAAATTTAAATAGTCCTAAAATCAGATCAAAAGTGCTAGCAACTAATAACACTAATAGATTTTTAAACGATAGCAGTCGACCTTCAATCTTACCTCGTAGTGGTCAGCCCATTGATCTAATCTTAGCGCAGCCGGCACAGGCTGTTCTTATGGCTTCAGGGGACAGGGTTCCACATCGGGGGCGGCTCCTACTCAAAAGCCTGGCGGAAGAGCTCCGTCTTGCAGACCCTGCGGAACTGCATAAGGTCCCGCAGGGCCCTGATCTCCTCTGGGAGCTCATTCCACCAGGAAAAGCCCAGCTAGGCTTCTGATTGGCCATGCAATCCTGGGCCCTTTTGCTTTGGAATTACCGCTGATCTCCAGATGACACAGATCAGTTCCTCGAGAAAATGGCGGCTTCAGAGAGTGGACTGTATGGTATTATCCCCCACTGAGGTCCTGTCTTTTATTAAACCCCGTCCTCTCCAGGAATTTCTCAACCTGGAGCTGGCAACCGTAATAGCCGAGTTTGGCCCTGAGCTCACCAAAGGTGAGATGTGGCCAGGGAAGGATTTGGCCCACGTGCCTGTTCCCTCCCACCGCTGCTAGGCCAGCAGAGTCCCAGGGAAACCCCTCTGAACAGCGTTTCCTATCTTCTCAGGAGGGGCCACTGATGGATCGGGTCTTCAACACCTACCTGCTCATGCACACCCACCAGACTGTGGAATTTGTGAAGAAGAAGGTAGGTTACTTGAATACGAGTTGTGCGTGCCTCCCCTACTGAGTGGTCTTCCAAACTAGACATGATGCAGGGGTCCCCAATGTGGTGCCCAAGGGCACTCTGGCTCCTGCCAAGTGTTTTTAGAAAGTTGTTGTTGTTGTTCGGTCACACAGTCGAGTCCAACTCTCCGCGACACCATGGACCAGATCACGCCAGGCCTTCTGGTCTTCCGCCGTCCTCTGAAATTGGCTCAACTTCATGTTCATTGCATCGATGACACTGTCTAACCATCTCCTCCTTTGCCGTCCCCGTCTTCTTTGACCTTCAATCTTGCCCAGCATCAGGGTCTTCTCCAGTGAGTGCTCCCTTCTCATTGGGTGGCCAAAGTATTTGAGCTTCCGTTTCATTATCTGGCCTTCCAGGGAACAGTCAGGGTTGATTTCTTTGAGGATGGACTGATTTGATCTCCTTGCAGTCCAAGGGACTCTCAAGAGTCTTCTCCAGCACCATAGTTCAAAAGAATCTAAGTAGAAAGTAGGTGGTGCTTTTGCCCAGCGAGGCTTCTGACTGGCCACCCGGAATTTGATTGGCAGTGTAAATTCTTTAAAAAACGTTGCTTCAGCAGCAGCTGCCACCACAGAACAAGCGTTTTCAGTGCACGATTGAAGGAAAGCTGCGGGGAGCGTATTGTAGCTGACGTCACCTCCCGTGTTGTGGCAGCCATTTTGTGACAGCCCCCACCACACAGTGTCAGAAATCCCAAAGGCCCCCCCCCCAGGCTCAGAAAGGTCGGGGTCACCTGGGATAGCTCATCTCACACAGAAGGAAAGGGGGGGGGGATAGTAGAAAGTGAGGCCGGAGAACCCTGCAACCAATGTTCCCTGTAAGCTGAGGAGTCTTGTGAACAAAAATTCTACTTTGTGAGCTACTGGCATTCAAGTTGTGAGGGATTTGGCTACTGCATAAATTCATTTTGCTCTGGAGCCTTCCTCCCTGAGCTAAGACAAAAATGTGTGAGCTGGAGGCTAAAAAACTGTGAGCTAGCTCACACTAGCTCAGCTTAGAGGGTACACTGCCCGCAACCTCAGGTGCTGGTGTGTGTGTTACATCACACTGCAGAGCACGAAAACGGGATGCTGTCAGAAGGGGGGGGGGGAATGGTCTGATCCAATCGCTTCCCAGTGGACCTTTGGAATTCCCAGTGTGGTAGAGTAGTCAGAGAACCAGAACTAGGATCGGGGGGAGAGAACCAAGCTCAAATGCCCACCACTCTGCTATGGAAGACGAAGGAGGAGGAAGAAGAGATTGGATTTATACCCCGCCCTTCACTACCCAAAGGAGTCTCAGAGCGGCTTACAAACTCCTTTCCCTTCCCCTCCCCACAACAGAGACCCTGTGAGGTAGGTGGGGCTGAGAGAGCTCTGACAGAAACTGCTCTTTTTCAAGGACAGCTCTTATCAGAACTACGGCTTGCCCAAGGTCATCCAGCAGCTACAAGTGGAGGAAGAAGAAGAAGAAGAGATTGGATTTATACCCCATGGCCCTTCACTACCCAAAGGAGTCTCAGAGCGGCTTACAA